TAAATGGAAGGGATCAGGAAGTTCAAACAAACAAACGAACTCGCTGCGGTGGCAGTAGCCTAGGGAACTTTCATACCTTATGCATGCACCTCCTGAAGGGCAGAGGGGAAGGGAAAGATTATGAAAATATGTCCATATTGACTTTATATCAGTGAACATATCAAGTTTTAGGGTCACTCGGCAAACCCTAAGCAATAGCCATGTACATTCTCTTTATTGACTGTTGAGCTAACGAAAGGCATTTAGAACTTAATCCCAGTTTTGAGAAAGTTTGCAGACCATAGTTTTCTAAAAAGTATTGTATGTAGATTTGAACCTTGATATGTCAGCTTGGAAGTACAGCTTTGTGGGAAACACAGTGCTCAGAATTAGAGCAAATTTATATAGTTTCCTACTAAAACTGCAAAACTCCAAGAAACAAGTCTAGAATTAAATTTCATTGTCCTCACCTTCCCCTCAACCTTCAAACACAAAATAAAACCCTGCAAATGCACCTTGTCAGTATTTGGGGTGGGGAAGACAGCCTTGCTTTAAAAAATATATAATAATAATAAAGGGGGAAAACTACTATCGAGTCACTTATTGTTATTTCCTTTAGCATAATCCCCTTGTGTGCCATGTATATCCTTGCAGATGCTCTCCTTAAAAGTTTTCTAAACATTTGTTCACAGCACTGGGCTCCAAGTCTAAACATTTAAGTTTCTAAAGCTCTCTCTCAGGCCTTCTGTTTACAGTCCTGTATGCTTTTCAAATAAAGACCTCAATTATTTGTTCTTATACTTAGTATGTTTGTCTGCTTCTCCTAAATGGAGCCGGCAGTTTCTCTTTTCATTTTATTATTCTGTTTTGAAAGTAATCATTTTCACTTATCTTCAAATTCTTTCCTTTTTTTTCCCCACTAGCCTTGAGGTTTATCAATGGGAAGTATTTAATTTCTTAACGACTACAGTGGGCCAGTAAAAAAGATTTCCCAGTAAACAAGATGTGGGCCCAGTGTTGCAAACCCTTGCTCATGCAAATAGTGACATGCGGGTCAAGAGGGCTCCTCCTTGCATGAATAGCTCCTTTATCATTAAGCTGATATTTCACAATCAGGATGGAGCAATGAAGAGTAAAAGTAAGGAACTGGAGAAGAGGGAAGTGACTGCATTGCCTTACATTTGCTTTGGTCTCCAAAACTCAGTTCTACAACAGGGTAGGCAAAGGTGTGATTACTGTGGATTTCACAGCCTTCTCCCTCCTCCTCCTAAAGAGTCCCCAGGCTCTGAGCCACAGTAGCAAGTGGCAAGGGCAAGTCATAGACTGTTATCAACACACACACACGTGTTTATGCTTCTTTGAACTGTTACAATTAAGATTCTACAATATCGATAAATACGGCACAGTTACATCAATATTAAAAATTCCTATTTTTACAGCTTACTTTCACAGCTGTTCCACAGTGCTATGAGACATTTCTATCCCAAGATAATTGTATCAACACCAGGAATTGTGCATCCTCCCCCCTTCATATATATAGTTGTGGCTGAGTCTCTTTGGAGGCCTAGATAAATTGTCATGTGAAGCATCTTAGCCACATTTTCGTTTGAGCAATCTGCTTTATGCAGAATGACATGGACAGGCAGCAACCAGCCTGTACACAGTCCAGAGTCAGTCACCTTTAATGTCCAGGCTGAAGTAGCACTACTCCAGTAAGAGTTTAAGTACTTCTTTCTTTAAGCCTTACTGTTCTGATAACTAGTGTGGTACTTATAATAATGAGAAAAAAATGGATCCTTCACATAAATGACTTCTAAATGCTGTTTTTAAACTTTTTTTTTAAAGCATTTCTCTCAGTTAGGATTGGGGGAAAATACTTTTTTTTCTAGCATACCCTGCAATACTCAGCTTATGAGTTTCGTGAAAGTGTCTGTTAAACACACTTCAGTAAACATTTATTGCAGTGTATTTCTGCTGTAATCAGATGTTATGAAACCTTCTGTTACAGAATATAAACTTTAGATTATATTTGACCTGATATAGCCCTCTAATAATCAGTTAAACTGCCAGTACAGACATAGCATCCTGTATGTGACTTGCGAGTCTGTGCTGATAAGCTACTCGTCTTGAAAAGTGGTTAAGATCACGCTACAGATCTAACTTTGTAGCCACCCCACACAAAAAATTACAGCTAACATTAGGCTCAGCTGAACTCAGAGCCACGCTGGGTGGGAAAAAGGGCAACAGAGAGATTTGTGTCTGAATAAGTCAATCCTTGTCACCTTTCAACCTGCTTCTGGAAACAAAATTGGTATTATTAGTTCAATTTTAACACTTCTTTGCATCCTTGCATTTTATCAACAACTTTGATAAAAGTCTATCAACTATTTTAAATTCACGCTTGGTGATGATTATTGAATAACTTCATCCAGTGTGTGTTTTAAATGGGGACGTTAAAGAGGGTATCAGTGAACAGATAGAAAAATTTCAAAGTGGCTCTGTAGAGTCACAAGAGCGTCAATGACAACGATAGCAGGCAGAGGGAGAGAAAAAGCTCTGAGATGAACTGAAGGCCTGTCAAGAAGAGACAAGAGCTGAGAAATGAGACAAGTCATGCAAAATCCTAAGAACAAGTTCAGGGAGTCCATGGGAAAGGCTCAAAAAAGGAACAAAACAAAGGTGAGGATTAGGAAAAAATACACTTTTTAATCAACAACATTCTGTATGTACTACAAGAGAATAAATTTATAGTTTTAATGTGAAAGCAAGGTGACTGGGATTTGCCAGAAGAGAATAGATATTAGTAATGTTTTAAAGAGTCAGCAGAACATGATAGGAAAAAAGCATGGACTGTGATTGAGAAAGGACAATTATGAAGATTGTCTCCTACATGCTCTACAGTTTACTTGAGATGAAACCCTGATATGCTTATATGATTTTTTTTTTCCTATTAAATTCAGCTGGACTGCCTGCCTTCCTCCTCTGTAGGAAATACCATCCCCTCCCCCCCATCACCCCATCACCCCTCACACATAAAAGGTTAATAAGAAGAGCAACAAAAGCACAAGTCTGGAAGAGAGTAAGCAGTAAAGTTTCCAGTCACCAATAAGAGTGAAAAAAGAATAAGTGAAGTCTCACATTTAGCCAAGCTGAGCTTGAGCTGACAAAAAAAAAAAATATCCATGAGGAATCATCACTCCACCAAGATTGGATATGGAAAGCAAGGTATGACTGGAAGTAGCACGGAAGCAAAACTGAAAGTCACAGGACTGTGAGGATGTCATTAGGAACTAACACTAAGGAGAGTTCCTAACACTAGGAGCTAACTAAGGAGAGAAGTCCTTCCACATTGTGGTGTGCAGAGATACTCAGACCAGATATTCTGGTCTGTCTGTAGTTTGATCTATATTAATTTTTTCTTCTCACTGCTTCTGCACCCATCCCCGCACTATATTGAGCTACAACATATAGTCTATTCTAATGAACTACCCTAGAATTTTTTCCGAGCTCTTTTATCTGTTTTAGGGAAATCTTTCTGTCCCCTCAGGATTGTGGTTCTCTTTGTGGTAAAAACACTAGTTAAATGATCCTCTCACACCAATATGAATTTCAGCCTAAATTGAGCCAGAATCCAGACTCTGAATTATATTTGCAGCATGCTAGGCTTAAACACATACTCCAGCTGGGTAATAGTTTTCCTTGAGGATGTTCGAGACGTTTGGGATAAATCCAAGTAAGATATCTGTAAGATATCTGCCCCATAAGCATGGCTTGTCCCCACATCCCCCTACAGTTTCTAGCCTCCATCCACCCTTCGTACCGTACACCAGAGTCATATTTAATAGGATACTAAGACGGTAACAGTAAGGACACTACCAGATAGCAACAGAAAGCTCTGCTATCTGAAGCAGACAGAAAGCAGTCACCAACTGAAAAAAGGGAATTTAAACCACAAACTTTTAGAAGCAAGAACCACATTCTCTTGTAAGTATTGATTACACCAATAGAACTAATGAGCCGTTATCCCAGTCTTCTGTATTTTAGCATTTTACTAGGCTTTTAGGGAATTAAAAAATAAACAATGACCAGAAGATCTAGTTAATATAAGCATGTCTGAAATAAAGAAAAAAGTCCCAAGTAACTAATTTTTGCCACTGGAGTCCCCACATGTCTGGGCAGCCTATTTTCATAGTTCACCATTGCTTGCCATCACGTTTAAATGGATATCACATGTGTAAAAAGGCACTAAGCAAGTTTACATTGCTTCAGGATTTACTACATGCTATTGATTAATAATTAGTTTTGAAGAGGCAGTCTACCAGATAAAAGAGATAGGACGATAATCAGCTCCTTATGGCTTGGAAAGAAATAATTTTCCTAAAAGAAAAATACAGCGTAAGAGTCGTAATCATCCCTGTGTGCAAGGCATTCATTTCTGACCAATTTCCCCAGCCCTTCCTTCAGTTATCCTCACTGACCTCTCAGACCTCCACACAGACCGCAGACACGTTTTCCTCACAACGAGAGTATTCAGGACAAAAAAAAAAAAAAAAAAGTCAGACAGAAGAGGACCAAGAAGCCTGGCTTCGTCTTCTCCTCATACACAACATCCATTGAGGCAGGAGAAACCACCCTGGATGCTAGAACAAGAGCCGTATTCAACACTAGCGCATTTGGTAGCAGAGCTTCAGCTGGGCTTGGAGGAGCACACTCAATGAACGCTTCAAATCCCAAGAACCAGACAACAACAACCACCACCACCAAAATAAAACCCCAAATAACCCCCACACTCTTATCACCACGGAGGGGGAAGCGACCCATTTCATCACTCCGCCGTGGAGCAGTTAGCCAGGACGGAGAGTCCCCCCCACCCCGCTCCCGGGACGGTTTTCAGGACGGGCTTTGGCCAGGAGCTTTCCAAGGGCGCCGGCTCGCCCAGCCGCGCTCCCGCCCGCCCAAAGCCGCGTTATTTTCCGCGGGCAGCACCTGCCGCCGCCGCCAGCCCGGCCGCCCCGCTCTACCTGCAGGATCTTGTCCAGCCCCTCTTGGCCCAGGCAGGGAAACTGCTTGAGCAGCTCCGTCTTCTGCCGCTTGTAGTCGTCGGTGGCCGAGCGCCAGTGCGGCTCC